GAGAGAGAGAGAGAGAGAGAGAGAGAGAGAGAGAGAGAGAGAGAGAACAACCTCAGATGTGAACTGCTGTGGATATCACTCTGTATAAATAGAATGCTGATTGGCCAGTAGCCAGGCAGGAAGTATAGGTGGGACAAGCAGAGAAGAGAATTCTGGGAAGTGGAAGGCTGAGTCAGTAGACCCCTGCCTGCCATCCAGGGAGCAGCATGTAACAGGCACACAGGTAAAGCCATGGAACATGTGGCAACATATAGATTAACAGAAATGGGCTGAGTTTAAGTGTAGGAGCTAGTCAGTGGTAGGCCTGAGCTAATGGCAGAGCAGTTTTAAATAATATTAGCCCGTGTGTGTTTATTTGGGTCTGAGTGGCTGCAGGACTGACGGGTGAGAGAGATTTGTCTTGACCATGGGCCAGGCAGGGCTGGAGAAAACTCCAGCTACAGTGAACCTCAGCAGCATCCACCTTGTTTGTTTTTTTGCCCCACCAGACTGGAACTTACCAAGTAGGCGAGGCTGACACTGGCCAGTGAAGCCCAAGGACACACCTGTCTCTGCCTCCTCAGCCCTGGGGTTATAATGTGTACCACCACATGAGTCCCAGGGTGTCAAAGCCGGCCTTGTGCCTACAGGGCAAACGCTGCTCTGACGGAGCTGCCTCCTCAGCCCCAGGCATGATGAGAAAGACGGGCAAGGTCAGTGCCCACTGCTAGCCAGCGGCGCTATTCAGCAATGGCCGACTCCCTGCTGCAGGGCCCTGATGTAGTAGCAGGAGGTTTTGATTACCACGTCTGGAAGACTGGCCCTTGGTAATGGCAGGCTGATAATCTCCAGTGCACTGCAGAGGCCCAAGAAAGGACTGGGGTCGGAAACTGGCCTTCTGTTGCCCAGGGAAGGCGGCTCCTGCTTGGAAAAAAGCCGTTTTGTAGTTAGAGCGCGATTGCTCCCCTGTCGCTGTCAGCCCCCTCCCCCAATGCCACCTGGGCTCCCTGGGCTCCAGGGGCTCCCCAAGGCTTTGACTGGGCTGCTCATTGGCCAGTGTCACATCTCTAAGACGAGGGCTGATCTTGCCAGTGCAGCTTTCTCCAGCTCCTAAGTCCCCAAAGACACCCAGCCTGGCCTTAACAGGCACCCTGAGTGCTCCCCAGGGTCTTCTCCACCGCGCCTCTCCTCACACCCTGCTGCTTCTGCTCTCATCACTGAATCTGCAGGAGACACGGCTTGATCTCTCCTTCTCTTTGGCATTTGCTACAAGCATGGGACAACCTGGAAAATACATCCATAAATGTGCCTACACCCCAGTTCCCTCTGTGACAGTCCTGAGAAAGGACGGGGGAAATTCACAAAGCCCCTTCTGAAGTCAGTGAAAAACCTTCAGCTGCTTACCTGACACAAGAGACATTACATTAAAATGCAAGGCAGGTGAAAACAATGTTTGATAGACGCCTCCCTAGACTTAGTCATTCAAAGGGGAGCTGGTATGTACCTAGAATCACAATGGTGGAAAAATAGTATACTTCAAACTACTAGGAAAAATTGCCACCATTAACGTTCACTCCCCCTACTGCAACAATGACAATATAATTACAAAACACAAAAGTATTTTTCCTTTTGTTAATTGTGAAAATAACAAGGGCATATGTTTCCTCGCTTATTTATTCCTTGTATTGACACCAGTTACTAAGGAGAAGAAAGGGCCACTACTGTTTCTAAGGAAAGAGGGCTGAGTTCAGGTGCCCTGGAGCGTCCTTAGCAGCATAGTTACCTGTGAGTTCTGATGAGCCCCTTCTGCACCCTGGCAATACGCCGACATGAAGGACGCCCACTCTCTGATCTTCTCCCTGGGGCAGGAAGAGAGTTTCAGCTGGCATTGGCACAATCGCGTGCGCCCACATTCATTCTGAACCCAGCGGATTCTCTGGCTACACTCGGAACAGCTTTGGGATTGGCTGCCCACAAACTAGAAGTCTTTCCCCAGTAGTTTGAAGGTTCCCTGTCCTGTCCCGTCCTGTCGTGTGTCGTCCCTGTCCCGTGTCCGCCCCCCCCACCTGCATCTGCACCGCTGAAGGAGCCCTCATGACATCTCCAGTACGGAAACTCAGAAATAATGGGGCAACATGGGGTACAGGGCCTGTCAGCACCTCGTCCGTACCCTTCAGTCTCCTCCGCCCCTCTCAGGAAATGCATCTTTAGGAAGAGTGCTGTATTGGTTATTATTATTATTTATTTATTTATTTATTTTTGTCAACTTGATACAAGCTCAGGTCATCTAGGAAGAGGGAAACTCAACAGGAAATTCCACCATCAGATGGACCTGTAGGCAAGTCTGTGTGGATATTTTCTTGATTAAATATCAATGTATTGAGCCCAGTCTACTGTGGGCTGTGCCGCCCCTGGGCAGATGGGCCAGGGTGCTGTAAGAAAGCAGGCTGAGCAAGCCAGTGAGTAGCTCTCCAAGTTCATGGCCTCTGCATCAGTTCCTCCTCCGGTTCCTGCCTCAGGTTCCTACTCCGACTTCCCCTAATGAGGGACTGTAATCAGGACTTGTAGCTAAATAAACCCTTCCCTCGGGAGTCACTTTTTGTCAGTGTTTTCTCACGGCAGATGGAGAAGTGAACAAAGGCATGTGTGCCTGAATGAACTGACACATTCCCCACAGTCTCTACTGTCGTTTTCTGTGACAACTTAAAAGAAAACTTTGCAGCTTTGGGTCAACCTGAGATAGAGTAAGGCTCCAGCCTGGCTCCAGCCTCAGGCACCTCCTCCCACACCACACTGTCTCTCTGGTAGATAAGCGGGTGTGAGAATCCTTGGGAGCTCCTGCTGGCAACAGGAGCCTCTGAAAAGCCGCAGACGCCTTAAGGGTGAGCACATCTCCTCCCTGCAGCTCCTTCAGGTATTTCCGGTCATGCTGTGTTTCACAGAAGGCATCTGGGCGACAGCTTGCCTTGTGACCCTCTCCTCATCTACCATGTCCCAGTTCTGACTCCCGGACCTCAGGTGTCACCTATGCTTCTAGAAAGGGACTGTTTGCAGAGATTACTGGTTAAGCTGAGATCACAATGGACTAGCAGTACCTCCTAAACGAGTAAGACTGGTATCTGTGAAAAGGGAGAGAAATTTGACTCAGAGGTACATGCATGTGGGAAACGCCATGTGGAAGCTGGGGTTGGCTGTTGCAGCCAAGGGCCCTCCAGCAGTTCGAGAGAGAGGTTTGAGAAGAGCCTTCCTTCCACAGTGTTTCCCGGGAGTGGCCATGTCTGCACCTCATTGCTGAGGCCCAGCCTTAGAACAGTGAGGTTATCAACCTCTGTTGTTTTAAACACCGTTATAACACTCGTAGGCAGCTAGCATAATGATTCTTAAAACTATTTTAAAAGCCAGGGAGGAAGCTTCATTGGCGCTTGACATGCGGCCATGAGGATCTGAATTTAATCCCCACAGAAAAGCCAGGCATGGTGGAGTGTTTGCAACACCAGCTGGGGAGGCAGAGGCAGGCAGATCCTGCAGCTTTCTGGCAAGCCAGCCTAATTTAAGACCAATGAGGGACCCCGTGTCAAAAAAACAAAGCAGACAGCTCCTGAGGAATGACAGCCAAGGTTGTCCTCTGGCCTCCACATGCACACACACGTGTGCACACACTCAGATGTGCAGCCACACACACGCACACACTCACACATACAACCACATACATATATGCACACACACTCACATGTGCAACCGCACACATATGCACACACACACTCAGATGTGCAACCACACACACGCACACACTCACACATACAACCACACACATATATGCACACACGTGCACACACACTCACATGTGCAACCACACACATATGCACACACACACTCAGATGTGCAACCACACACACATGCACACATTCACATATGCAACCACACACACATATGCACAAAGGGCACACACACACACATGTGCACACATACACATATAGCCACACACACATATGCACACACATGCACACACACTCACATGTGCAACCACATACATATGCACACACACACTCAGATGTATAGCCACACACATATACACACACATGCACACACACATATACACACACATGCAACCACACACATGCGCACGCACATACAACCATTTTAGCACACAATGAAGACTGCTGCTTTGCGTGTGCAGTCCGGTCTCTATTTACCGCCTGTTTATTGTCTCAGGTTATAATGCTTTTCTCCACACACAGTCATCTCACTGCTCACCTGTCATGGCCAATGAGGAAGTAGTCCCTGTTTACGGTTCTGATGGACATCACCTCGTCAGGGTGGCATTTGAACATCCTCTGCACAGACTGCATCTTCTCCTGGCTGTTGATACCGACTTCTATGGTGGTGCTTCTGTGACAGACACAAAGCAACGGAACTGATATGGAGAGCAACTCAAGATAAAAACAGACTCCTGTTTTAAATCAGGAACGAAACTGAAGATTTCATTGACCCACATTTTAAAGACTGTCTAGTTCACGTCATAGATCTCATTTGAATTCTTTCTGTTTTAGAAGATAACTCTGGATCTGGTTCATCAGTAATTGAAAATACTGTTCTGCTTGAAATTCAATTCAGAACTTTCTACTTGGGTTGGATCCCCGAGTCCACAAATCACTGTATTTTCCAATATTTCTGGTACATGATTTCTTCAGAAAAGACAAAGAATATTTTATTTAAATATTTCTTAAACTCTGCTTTGGCTCTATGAAATTAGACTTCGGGAGCTCTATCTCATCAAAAAACTAAGTGAGACAAAGCCCTCAACCAAATGCTTAGGAATTAGAGATTCACCAGCTATAACAAACAATAGGAAGTAACTACTTCACTTTTAGCCATCCCACTCATTATTTCAGTTCTTTTAGAGGCACAGTGCTCTGGCAGGTCTGAGGCTTTGGTCAGGGTTAAGTTTCTGTGTGGCTTGTTTAGCGTCTGACTTGGGCACATTTGCAGTTGTGCGGTTTTCCTGGTTTGCATACACACCGATCGAGTTCGATGGAGCCGCGATGTTGATGGTCTTTGTAATAGGAAAGACTCAGGCCCTTTCCCCCATTCTGGGACAGGATAAAAAGGCGCTTTTTCCAGGAGGTCTGAAAAATGAAAAGGGGGTTGGGGATTTAGCTCAGTGGTAGAGCGCTTGCCTAGCAAGGGCAAGGCCCTGGGTTCGATCCTCAGCTCAAAAAAAAAAAAAAAAGAAAAAAAGAAAAAGAAAAAAAAGAAAAGGTTTTGCTGTTCCGATAACTCAGAAGAGTAGGGACTTTTTCCACATGCTCCTGAGGCTGGTGGGAGGCTGGTTAAACCAGTGATCACTTACTGCAGAGAAGAAGAGCTGAGGAGGAGGAGACTTAATGAAGTAATCTTGTTTGTGGGCTTCATTTTCATAATCAAATGTAAATTGTTTGCCTAATAAAAGAAAGTGAAGAGGATTCAGTTTGTTCTCTCATAAATTTCAGAAAAGAACAGCTTCCTTTGGAAAACATTGTTTAACTTCAAATTATTCAGTTATTCAAAAGAACACACACAATAGCTGCTTCCCCGCCCCCACCCCCAAGCCCCAAAAGACCAAGTGAAGAAACATCATTTGGATGCAGTGAGAGGCAGCTTCATTCACCCACACCTGCCTGACTCTGCTTCTGCAGTCTGGCCCTGGGTCCCTAGGTGTGAGCAAAGTGTTGTTTCCATTCTCATTTCAACAGTGAGGTAACTTGTGAATCACCCTTTGACACAGCAAATCAAAGCAGAACCAGTCTGGTGAAAAAAGAGGCAGGAGGCACGTTTCTCTTTGTTGCGGGAAGAGGAGGCGTGGCCACAGAGAAGGAAGTTCAGTAGAGAGGCCACATCAACATGACAGGTACCACTGGCTCAGCTCTCTATTATACAACCCGGACTCCATTTTCCCCCAGCAGGCTTTGAGCCTTTGGTAAGGTCTGTCTTTTCTGAACCCAAAGGCAAACCAGACTTACAGCCTGTGATGTGAGAGTAAAATGTGCCGTAAACCACAATTTTAACAGCACCATTTTCCTAACAGAGAGATCATCATCATCACCTCTGACTTTAATTCCAGGAATTACAATGAAACAGTTAATATTTAGGAGCCTTTTTATGGCTTCTGCCACCCCAGTTTCCACATCAGGTATTTCTGTTTTTATTTGTTAAACTGTGTGTTACACACACACACACCTCCTCCTCACATACCAGGACTATTGGTCTACACATGTGTGTACCACAGAAGGATCAGAAAGGATTAGAGCACCCACCTAGGACAAGAAAAATGCCTATTCCCTCCAGCTGTGCTGGAAAAGGTGGTAATTCATGGGGCATTGGATGGAGCACCAAGGACTGTGCCAGATCCACCTAACAAATCATAAAGGCAAGTCCAGAAGATCAAGTTGTTCCCAAGAAACTTAAGATTTACAAGAATAAAAAAATATCCAGTCCCAAAAAGGTAAAATTTGTAATGTCTGGCAAGCGGTTAAAGGCGCTAGGCATGCAGAGGAGGCAGACAAAAGTGACATGCAATAACTAATAACTAATCAATCAAGACAGACCTTGAACTGGCACTGTCTTAGACATGCCAGAGATTTACCGAGACATCTACTGCTACTGTCAAATCCTGGGAGATACATGAGTTAGAAAGACCCAAAATGAACTCCAAGAGACAAAAACAATCTTGAGAGGGGGGGGTTACACCAGGGGCTGTGAGAGAAAATGGAACACTACAGAAGTGTACCCAAACTCATAGCAATAGGGAGTATCAAAACAAGCAAAGTAAAGAGAAGCCCAAAGCATGAAAAGAGAGCCCATGTACCAGGGACAGTCTCAAGTGGTCCGATACGCAAGCAGCTGGAATCCCTTAAAAAAGAGGGGGGGGGGAGGCAAAAAAATTTTTTTTGAAGAAACAATTCTAAAAATTTTACAAACTTAAAACTATAAACCAAAACTCAATCAATTCAATGAACCTCATGAAACACAAGATACGGGAAAAGAAACACACCCCGAGTTCCTCAAAATCAAGATGCTCAAAACCACGTCACCAGAGAAACATCTCAAAAGCAGGCAGTGGAGAAAAGACAGTCCATACATAGCAAGGATAAGCAGCAAAGTGCTCTGTTTCTTTTTAATATTCACATGTATGCGTGGTTTGCCTGCAGACATGTCTGTGTATCACATGGATGCCTGGTGCCAGAGAGGGCCGGAAGGGGATGCCGTATGCCCTGAAAGTGGAATTACAGATGGTTGTGAGCCTCCATGTGGGTGCTGGCAACCAGACCCAGGTTCTCTGGAAGAACAGCCAATGCTCTTCACTGCTTGGCCATCTCTCCAGCCATAACTCCTTGATTTCTTATTACAAATATAAACAAGAAAATACAGACTGTAGCTAGAGTTTTCCTGCCTGGCCCACAGTCAGGATAAATCTCTGTCACCCACCAGTCCCACAGCCGCTCAGACCCAACCAAGTAAACACAGAGACTTATATTGCTTACAAACTGTACGGCCGTGGCAGGCTTCTTGCTAACTGTTCTTATATCTTAAATTAATCCATTTCTACAAATCTATACCTTGTCACGTGGCTTGTGGCTTACTGGCATCTTCACATGCTGCTTGTCATGGCGGCGGCTGGCAGTATCTCCTCCCACCTTCCTGTTCTCTCCTTTCTCCTCTCTGTTAGTCCCGCCTATACTTCCTGCCTAGCCACTGGCCAATCAGTGTTTTACTTATTGACCAATCAGAGCAATTTGACATACACACCATTCCACAGCAGCAGACCATTATACACACTGAAGAAATGCTGCCATTCAAAGTTCTATAAGCAGCAAATATATCTTTTAAATATGGAAGCAATTTGGAGATATTTTCAGATATGCAAATTTTGAAAGAGTTTCATCATCAGGAAGCTTCCACTATCACAAATGATGCTAATGAAAATCCCTTAGAATGCACCAGAGGCATGCAGAACACCGACGGAGACTACAGTCCTTCAGAATGCACCAGAGGCATGCAGAACTGGAAACTACAAGGCTAAATGTGTGAGGTGATTTTTCTTATTATCTAAAGCATTCAATAATTCAACTAGCTAAACAAAAATAGCAATGCATTGTGCAGATTATAATGGTGTGTGAATAATGTGAATTCCAACAGCAGGCTAGGGAAGAAAAATGAGATTACATCTCTGTAATGAGCCTGGATTATTTGTGAACCAATATACCATTACTTGGGGTTAGGCTGTTATATGTTTAAAAATATATAAACATGAAAGTAACATTAAATATAGTATTTAATATAGGCTAAAATAATATAGCACAGTTTAATAAGCTAATAAAATTGGTGCAGTAAAATTAAAAGTGCTCAATTAACTCAAAAGAAAGCAGAAAAGGTGGTGGTGGTGGTGGTGGTGGTGGTGGTAGTGGTGGTGGTGGTGGTGGTGGTGGTGGTGTGTGTGTGTGTGTGTGTGTGTGTAGGGGGCGGGGACAGCAAATGAGAAAAATAGAAAACAGCAATATGGTACTGTCAAGCCTGAACACAACAGTCACATAAAATTTAAATAGTCCAGACATCTGAATTAAAAGGAAGTTGTCAAATTGGATAAAATAGCAAAATCCAACTCTGTGCTGCCTCTAAGAACCACATAAGTGTAAGAGGCACAAGTAAAAGAAAAAAAAAAAATGATGCACATCTTAGGGATTTCATTGCTGTGATAAAACACCAGGAGCGAGAGCACCCTGGGGAGGGGAGAGTCTGTTCAGTTTCTCCTTCAGGTCACACTCCATCACTGAGGGAGGTCAGGGCAATAGCTCCAGGCAGGAACCTGGAGGCGGGAACTGAAGCAGAAGCCATGGAGGATGCTGCTTACAGGCTTGCTCCTCATGGCTTGCTTAGACTCTTCTTATACAAGTCAAGACCATCTGCCCAGGGTTGGCACCACCCACAATGGGCTGGGCCCTCCCACATCAATCATTAGCAAGAAAATGCCCCCAGCAGGCCAATACGGTCGGGGCATTCTCTCAACTGAGTTTCCTTCTTCTTAGATGACGCTAGCTCAGTAAAGCAGAAAAACAAACAAACAAACAAACAAAATCCTAGGCAGCACAATACACCGTGTTCACCGTGTTAGCCCAAGTCATTAGAAAGCGGAGTAGCTATGGTAGATCATGCAGACTCCAAAGCAAGGAATAGTACCAGAAATCAAAGAAGGTCATTTTATAATAATATAGGAGTCAATTAATCCCAAGAAGATATAATAACAGTAAACATATATGTACCCAGTAACAAAGCTTCAAATATGAAGCAAAACCTAACAAAATTACAAGGAAAAATAGATGTATTCAAAATGAAAGGCGCCCTCCCCCTTGCTCCTCACTACCTGAGGCAGGCAGGGGGAGCTGACCCAGCCCCCCACCTACCGCAACATTCCAGAGAGTGGGCCCTGGACCTCATTTGGGCAGCACAGTAGAGCTGACCCTGTTGACAGGGGTGTGGATGAACTCACCCGGGGAACATGAGTGTGGAAGATCTGGTGTTGCCCCTATCTGCCATACGGTGGCATGGGCAAGGGAGAGAGAGGCGCCCTCCTCACCTTCTCACCCTACCTCTCGCTGCCCATGGCAGGTGGAAGAGCTGGCCCTGAGGCCGTGAGAGTGAGAGAGCTGGCCCTGCCTCTCACCAGCGGCAGCACTCAGGAGAGTGGCCCCCGCACCTCGTCTGGGCAACACAGTAGAGCTGGCCCTGGTGGCACAGGTGTGGGTGAGCCAGCCCTAAGGGCATGAGAGCAGGAGAACTGGCCCCACCCCTTGCTGCATATTGCATTGGGTGAGCTAGCCAGGGCAGCATTGGAGAGCTCACCCTAGTGGTGAGGATGAGGGAGAGCTGGTGAGCTAACCAACCCAGCAACCACCCAAGCCCAGAACCAGGGCCATGAGTTGACCCATCCAACATCTACCCCATCTATGATCTGCTGGAGCACCTGAAGGGACTGGTCCTGCAGACCCAAAGCTGCAGGACCTCCATGACACAGGACAACAACAGGATATCCAAAAGGAGTCCCAGTGATGGTCCAATATTAATAGTGTAGCAGAAACC